CACACACACACACACACATATGGGCCACCAGTTGAATAGCCCTGGCATAAGCCGACTTTAAACTTATTGTTGAACAAAAGTTTCAAGTTAGAATATCGGCAAGCTTTTTTGAGACTGATTGTCTTTGCAAAAACAAACAAAAAAAAAACAAGTGAAAAACAAAAACACATCCCTGCCCTGAATGAAGAAAAAGAAGAAGAAGAGTGATAACACACCACCCTGTTAWATATTTGTGTCTTTTTTACTGTGTGAAGACAAATGCGTCAGCATTTATACACTGTACATCTGCAGCTTAAACATATCATCTTGTTACACGATGTGCATGTGTGAATCTGTGTATRGTCTGTGTAGAATGAGGGGTAATTGGTGGAGGGACAGATGTAAGGACAGACTGCAGAGAGAGCTCCACCACATGCTCCGTATCTGGGTTGGGCTGTCTGGGCGAGCCGCCATGCATTTACACCCGAGCTTCGGCTCGTAGAGCAACTGGCTCTGCTCACAAGGGAGTGGCTTGTTTTAAAACCTGGGATGCCTGTTGCACAAAACGGTGATCGGTCTTTGCTTTCAGAATGACCTTTTCGATGTTTCGGTGCAGGGGAGAACAGATTTAGAGGGTAATGGCAGCAAAAGGGAGGAAAGCAGAGCTGGCGTTCTTCCACAGGAATGTAGCTGTGATTGATGTGTCAGAAGATCTAGTTCTCTTATCACCTCCACTCCTGCTCCAGGATATGTCACAGAATACATTAGTTACATTTACAAAGGAAAGAGATGGGGGGAAGAAATATCATGCCAGAGAGTGGGATCAATTTAGATTGACATAAAATAACAAACTAAGCCAGGAAGTCGGCTCACGGAAAAATGTGTGGCCGCTGTGTGTTTCTTTAAAAGCAGCTGCGAGAAATCAGACTTTATTAGGAGGAGAAAGATTACATCCACACAAACATGTTCAAACCCAAAAACAATTAGAGAAAACCTCTAAACGCATCCGCCAAATCTCATTTCTATGTGTAAGTTAAAAAAAAGTCTATAATTCAGGAATGTTTTTTTGTAGGAAAAAATATTGATATAGCTGAGGAATGCAGAACAAGGCAGAATGATTGGCTCCCAAAGGTAACATTAAAAACACAGTTTGATAATTTTGACTTGGGATTCTATGTAAATGTTATAAAAAATAATAATATCTTATCTGTTGTGGATAACACTTTGAATGACCTCAGTTTGGAAAAATACAGCTTTCATTTGAAAAGATAAGCCAACATCTAGTCTGAAGGAGATCAGAACCAATGTAGAYTGCTGCCATTTTGAAAAAGTTGTGCAAACCAGTGTTATATGACACTACTGCCAGTGCTATTTACATTTACATGCTGCATTTGGTTGTTAAATAAGCAAATAATTCCAAGAAAATAACTGTGGATGTGTTCCAATTCAGGGGCTGCAGCCCACGTTGGCCGCTTGCATCATTGGACCATAGGCTGTATTAATGTGTAGCCCCTGCTCATATGTCCAACAAAACCCAGAAAACGTAGGCTGCATCTAAGTATCCTATGTGGCTGACAGTATCCCAGGATTCATGGCTGTTTTATATATATATATATATATATATATA